AATTAAAACTTTGGTAATAAACTGACGCTACAATTACACAGATCCACAACGTCGGTGAGAAAGCGGAGAGTAGGCGCAAAACCGTAGAAGAAAGAAAAAAAATAAAACGCATCTTAAGCAAGTTTAATGGGCTGCTGGGTTAGATGGGCCTTTATTGGATGAAATAGATTAAAGTTAAACCCAACTTTTGGCGGAAAATTAAATTTTCGGAAAACCTGGGACGCCAGATGTTAATGGGCTGCTGGGTTAGATGGCACAAGTATGCTGCCAGGGAAGAAAGTGATGAGAAAACCCATAGCACATTTCACAAGAATTACACCCAGAGAATTCAATTCAAGGGAATCACTTGAAGCTAAAGGAGTTTATTTTGTTGATTATAATGTTTCTTTCTTAAACCACTGATTAAATTCTACAGGGATGGTGCAATGAAAAGGTTATTCATATGCCTAATGGTGAAGGGGGTCGTGTTATTTTGGTGTCAAATTCTGATCCTGTTGCTGGGAGAAATAAGGTTTGCATTTTGTAATTTTGAAGTCAAATTTATTGCCTTTAGCTGTCTAATGTAGTTTATGTTGATGGGGTTCTTTGGGATATGTTGTATTTCCAGGTCCAGGACGTTGTAAACATGATAGAGATCGAGCTTGGGGAAGGATGGATTTTTCGTAAGTTCTGTAAGGTAAGCTGATTCTATTAATGCTATCAACAGGGCAATACAAAGGATGGATGTATTTATTTCAAATTCAAACCTGTTTTAGGAACTGAAAACTCCTATGTTGTATCCATGGTTGGCTTGAGATGAAGACAGTCTTTCTGGTTGGTGATTTTCTTGTCCAACTGTTTGCAGATATATCTGTTTGTCTCCTCACAGATGGTTGTTGGCTGTCTAGTTGCCGAACCCATAAAGGAAGCATTCAGAATCTTGTCATGCTTTGTCAGTGAAAGATGCAATGGAGCTGAAGCAAAGAAAAGAAGATCAAGCTCAACCGCACTCCAGTTTGGAAACATAATCTTGCAAAGGGAAGTTGTCAAAAGAGCTCCTGATAATTGCTCACAATTGCCTGATGGTAACCACCATGGAGCAATTATATGTGGGGAAGATGCTGTACCTGCTGCTTGCGGTGTTAGAGCAATCTGGGTCACTCCCAGCAACAGAAGAAGAGGCATTGCCACCCAATTGCTTGATGCCATGAGGTAAACTTTCAACCTCTGCTTCCATGTCATATCCTCGACAGAAGAACAGTATTTTGTGCTTTTTCGTTTGCCATTTCCAGTTGTTGAATACTCCCTTCTAAAAATGCAGGAAGAGTTTCTGTACGACCTTTGTTGTTAGCAAATCTCAGCTGCCATTCTCACAGCCAACCTCGGCTGGAAAGGCATTGGCGTTCAACATACAGACACCAAATCATTCTTGGTGTATAAAGCCAGCACTTGAGTTTTAGCAGATTCACACTTCTGGGAAGAAAACAAGATGATTATATATACCAAAAATGCATTAGGCAGTCAATTCTGTTAATGAATGATTGTTTGTTTCCCCCCTCTTTCTACCTTTTGTACGATATCAAACATTTGCTTTCGGAGACTCTACTTAGATTAGCCATCAACCACTCCACCCAAAACTGTCACAAGCTTCTATAACGCAAAATAACAGCTTCAATCTAGCACACTCACAAGTCACAACAAAGCGAAGGGGGCGCGAGGGTTTGGGGCAAAAGTCTTTTTTTAGGTTTTTACCTTAATAAATTTATAAGTTTTAATTTTTTACTTTAAATTATAACACTTTTAACTCTTTATTTTATATTATAACACTTTTAATCTCTCATTTTATATTATAACACTTTTAATTTCTTATTTTATATCATAATACTTTTAACTCTTCATTTTATATTATGACATTTTTAACTCATCACTTATTAAAATAAAAAAAAATAGACCTCACTCATAATATTTTATTAATTTTATTAATTGATTATTAATTTTATTAATTGATTCTTAGTTGATAAAAATTTACTTTCAACTATCTATTTTTAACTAATAAAGTTAATAATTAGCTAACATAATAATTTTATTAACTGATTGTTAATTTTATTAATTGATTGTTAACTAATTGCTAGTTAGTAAAAATTTATTGTCAATTAATAAAGTTAATTATTAGTTAACAAAATTAACAATTAATTAATAAAACTAATGAAATATTATAAAGTAAGAGTTATTTTTTTAAATTTTAATTGATAAAAAATCAAAATTATCATAATATAAAATAAAAAATTAAAATTTACTACGTGAAAGACCAAAAGTAAGTTTTTGCCAAAGTTTCGTGGCACGCCAGAGCAATTGTTGAACTTCTGGGGGGCAGGCAGTTTCGACTATTCACTCCATAAACCACCGACTTTCCCAACGATGCCAACTACTGCGTCGTTTTGATTTTGACACCGCTTTTCCTTCTTTGAGCTCCAAGTTTGCGTTTGGCGCCGTACAAAAATCCTCGGGCATTGACCTGTTTTCTGGGCAAATAAACCTCTACTGAACTTATCTCATTGCTGTATCAGGATTGTTTACGTATCTGATGTAAACATACTTGCATATTATCTATAAATTGCCTATTTCTCAAAAAAAAAAAAAGAAAATCCTTGGGCATTGAAAGACTCTGGAATACCTTTCTATACCCTAAATGCCCTCACCCCGTTGCTCTGTTTACCGTTCCCAACCTGGAATCTAAAACCCTGCGCCTGTATAAAAAGCAAACCCTTCTTTTTCTGTAATCCCAGCCAAATCTCCAGTCGTAATCTCTCTGGTGAGTAACGTCATCTTTCCGAGGTTTGATGGGGGACTATTTGAGGACTTCTATTCCCGTCGTCTTATTCGACGGCGAGACAGAGACAAGCATCGGAAACTTCGTGCTTCAACCGTCTATGGGTTTCAGGAAACTCCAATACATCCTATGCCGCGTGATCGGTATCGCGCCTCACCAGTTCTCCATCCTTTACGCCGGCGTTAGAAACCACTACCGGAGATGCCCCGTCACTAACAAGATCAATTTGTGGGAGATTTCTCGCGACGAGGATGGATACTTGATTGTGGCGTTGAGGCAAACGCGGCGCCAGAGAAGAGGAAAGGATCGGGCTGAGTGGTACAACTACGTGAACGGGGCAGTATTGTTTCCACGAAGGAGGGAACAGCCGGCGGACGCTCTGCTGTTGAGGAGAGACGCCAATGGGTACAACAACATCATGCCGGACGGGGAATATGAGGAATTCGATGAATTTAGGAGGTGGATGGAGGATTTGCTGGATCTGAGACAGTGGATTTTGGGATGGCAGATGGAGGCGGACGGCTTCGGCTGCGAGGAGTGTGAGAGAGCTTATGCGAGTGGAGATGCCGGGTTTCACCCGTGCGTCAATGACGCTGTGATTACCGGGTTTAGGTCGACGGCCGGTCCAATTGCCCGACCCGCATAATGCTCCGGCTAAAGGCAAGGCTAAACCGTCCGTTTGTATGTTGGGTTTTATTTAGATTGAGCCCCTTTACAATGGATAATAATTCAGTTTAGTCCACAAAATCAATGATGATAGAGAATGGTATACGGGAATAGAAACGTGACGAATGGTACTACAATAATGGAAGAAGGGCAAGTGAAAGACTACTGAAGACTAGCAGAAGTGGCCAATTGTGGTACTAGTAGTTTAGTATTGTGATTTGGCATTTGATTGTCTTTGAACTTTTTGATTTTTGATTTTTTATATTGAAAAATAGAAATTTTAATTTTAGTTTTTGATTAGATAAAAAATAAAAAAAAAATTAGTATTATACTATATAAATTGCATATAAACAGTTTAAATAATTAGGTAGAGACAGGTGCTCGATTTTAAGATTGTTTTTTTATTAGTTTTATCTAATTATATTTTTATTTTATAATTTGGTATATTTTAATTGTAAAATAAGATTTTAATAAAAAAAATGTGACTGAAAATTAATCGAGCCATGTTTCCCTTCCAAGGGTGGGTTGTTTTGCGTTAGTTGCCCATCGGCTGTTGGAAACATGGCTGCTTGGCTAGTCAAACACGGATTAAATCATAGATCTTTCAGCTTTTATTAATAAGAAATAGAGTGATATTTTGATTATTTTCAACCGAACAATCGAATCTGGGAAGCTGCAATTTTTGGAACAAAATTCTAGAATCTGATTTCCATGGAAAAATTTGAAATTATCTCGTTTTTGACTTCATTGTATATTTCTTCTAAAGGGAGTAGAAGATCATCCAAATTGTGGTACTTTAATATTGTTCTTAGCAAAAACAAAAAATTAGGATATCCTGATATATCAAAATTTCCTAAAATTTCGGGACCCTTGTTCTTAAAATCTTATTGTATAGGATGAGATTTACCTTTATCTGTTTTATAATTTGAAATAAAGAAGGGGAACGAAAATTCAGGCCCTCCTAACAAAAAAAAAATCTAGAACAATTTTAAAAATAGAGAAATGATTTTTATACAAATTTTTTATTTTATTTTTTATATAATTTAACGTATCATTATAATAATTAATTTTTTTAATTTATATTAAATATATTTGTTTATTTAATAACATATAAAAATTATATTAAAAAATAATATAAAAATATTATTCTTATAATACAATACTTATAAATACTTCGACGATTTACTTTAAAAAACACAATGGTCCAAATAGTCAGGGTGAAAAAACAAGAGTACCTTTCTGTCGTAGTTTCTATTTCTGAATTCCCTTCACACCTTGTCTACCCACGCTCAACTACTCCTCAAATCCTTATCTCTTTATTGGCAATCATTGTTCTCTTGCATTGTGCTTAAGAAGTTTGGGCTCAAACCCGCTGAAAACTTGAGCCCAGTCAAACATGGTGATATCCTGACCCTTTTCCCTCACTATTTGGACTATATTGGCTGTGGTTGTTTGTTTGTTCTATTATTGGTTGTTTCTTTGTTCTAGAATTGCTTGCTTGTTTGTTTGTTCTAGAATTGTTTGGTTTGTTTGTTTGATTTTCTGAGGTTTGAGGAGTAGATGTGTAGAAGAATGGTGTTCCTTGTGGTTATGCATGACAAGGGTTGGATAAATTGTCTGGATGGGTTTTATTGGTTTATGTTCTTGACAAATAATGGTGGCTAAGCTGGGTTTGGGGTTTTTTTTTTTTTATCAGGGGCTCTTGTGTAGAGCTATTTTGGTTGATTTGAGTACGCAAGATTTTGATAGAATTAGAGAAGAAATTCAGTAAGTGGAAGAGGAGTTTTTATTTGTAATGGCAATGACAACTGAAACTTTATTTTTTGATAAAATTAGACAAGAAATTTAGTAATTGAAAGAGGAGTTTTTATCTGTAACGGCAATGAGAACTGATACTTTATTTTACTAATGATGGCCTATAGCCAAAGACTAGATCCTAAAAACAAGCTACATAACTAATGTGCATATTGACATGTTCTGCACTTAAGTCCTAAATACTAGCAAACAAACAAGCTGTTTCTGCCCTGGGAATGCAGCTCCGTTAAAACTCATGAGAGAGAGCTTTGTCGTCCATAGAATCTTGCCCGGCTCGAATCTGGATTAGTCAGTGGCTCAATGGGTTTCTGGATACCAGATGGTCATACCAAAAAAAAAAAAAACAAGTATTTTTTTCATTTATAGGACATGATAAGACTTATTCAACAATAAATTTGCTGTAGGATCAAGATTAACAAGCCAATAGATTTTGCTTAAAGATTTAGTTTGAGGATTT